CTCTTCTCTGCCTCGCTTATTTTTCGCTGTTGTTTCTTCTGGTATGCTTTGTTCTTTGTAGTCACACTCACTTGGCATTCTTCATCAAACCAGTCATTTCGTGGTGTTTTATGGTCATAACTCAAGATGCTTTCGGCTGCTTGTTTTATGACCTCGTTAACACTTTGCCTTATAGAGTTTACTGGTTTGTCACCTTTAATCTTTAAGTTCTCTTCAATATAATTCGGGTGTGCAATCAATATTTCCTCTTATTTTAGGGCATCTGTGTTGTATCTCCTCGACTTGCTTCCTTTAACTTTTTTTAACGTGTGGTCCGAATCGATGCTTTTAAATAATGCTTTCTGATTGGTTAAATTCTTCAACTTGAAATTCGTAATTTAAATTTCTCCGGTATTGCCAACTTCGAAATGTCAAATGTCACCAATTAAATTTTATCAAAAATTATTGAAATTTCTGTTTTAACAATATTTATACATGAAATGTTGTAGTTTTATTGCTTTAACTTTGTTTTGCTGATTTCGGAACATTTTCTTTTAGATTTCAACGTCCGGCTTCAAAAATGTATTCAAATTTAATCTACGGATTTTCGTCCAATTCTTTATCATAACTCCCATATGATGGATGGTTTTCGTTTTTGATATAAGATTATCGTTTTCAATGGTTTCAACTGGACAAACTTGAATTATAGTAAGAAATTAATGAAAAATGAAATTTGAGGTTATGTCACTGCCAAAATTCTACAAAATTACTTCGTATCGACTTTATATGGATTAAATAGAATAAAAAACGTAAACGGTCAACAATACGTAATGAATAACATATTTACTACATTTTATTAATAGAAAAACAAGTTTCTATAATTATTATTCATAACCTCACCCACAAGTAATACGATTATGCAAAATTTCAAAAAATAATGAACGACTTGGTTGTATTATTACAATATGTACATCCTATAATGTACCCAAATAGATATGGGATAACCCAAACTAGAAAGGTTGTATTTTTAATGAAAAAAGAAAACAATTCAATTTATCATATAAAAATATCATTCTATTTTTTTTATTTATTAAACTATTGAGCTATTAGCCCATTGTACAACTTCTGTAGGAATACTAGCTGATGATTTTTTAACAAATTCCAAAATTTGTTGAGGCGATAATAACAATTTAAACATTTGATATTCCTTTTGAAGCTTAGTTCCTTGAGAAACAGACACAATTAACTCCATATTCTAAAATAAAATAAAAGATTACCTCATTATAATTAGTTATTAAATATTAATTAACCTGAATATGTTCAAAAGCTTTCATAACAACAGCTCTTTGAACGGTTTGAATGTTAGAATTAGCATTTACAAACTTAACATATCTTGTATAAATCATTTCAAAATTCATCAATTGATTATCGTATATATCACAATGATGTTTCATAGCGATTAATAAACAAAGTTCTAAAACTGTGACGTCATTTAACATTTCGAGTATTTCATCTTTTTCAAATTCTGCTAATTTATCTTCAAAATCTTTTATTGTTCCGCTTCATCGGCATCCGTTTTTCACGCGA